CAAGCCATTTCATGCCCCAGTTAACAACAAATTGAAGGTCATTTTCACAATCAGCTGCCAATTTTACTTTATGAAACCTATCAGACTTACCATGAAGACAGGAGTAAATAGGAGTTGTATCATAAACATTGATATCAAATTGGCAAATGATGACAGCAAGAAGGCTATTGATGAAGAAACAAGATAGGTCGAAAGAGAGAACTATGAGAGACACTCACATTAATGTGTAAAGATCTAGAAGAGTGGCCATTCAACATGATTTTTTTAAGAATGATTTAATTACAAATTTGTCTGGAGACACTGTAGCTAGTCAGCTTAATGTGAAAACCAAAATGCCAAACCCAATCTAACACCTTCAAGATCTAAAACTAAAGCCTGTTCAAAAAGATTTTCTTTGTCAATTATTTTTCTTTTAAGACTACATTGTTTAAATTCAAAATTTCAACTTAAAAGTTTGGTATTTCTATCTTTAACATTTCAGTGTAAAAAGCCTTTGTTGTATTTCTTTCTCTTTATATACACACTGCGCACTTCAATGTGATGTAATAGTCAGCAAGATTGTCTTGCTAGATAAATTATGACCGAGTTCGATCTTCACTGGGTGCCCCATACTTCTGCCATTGTGCCACATCTATGCTACGCTTAGAAAATCGTCATACATACATAAACACAAAAAAATAATCTTGGACAGCTTTCAGATATTTTGGAAACATATACAAGTAAATAACTAAAATAAAAAAAAAATCACTTCATTAACAAAAGTATCAATTTTTCATATTGCCTTATTTTTTTCTTTTCAGGGTTCCCACAGATCTGTGTTAAAAAAAAAAAAAAAAAAAAACCACTCCAGGTTCATAAGAAGTTTTAAGAACTGAAACTGGTGCGTGCATGCACCCACAAAATGAATGGTCCTCAATTTAAAAAAAAAACACACCTTGTAATTTATCTTTTAATAGTTTAACAGATGAGATGTTCAAAGAATAGCAACAGCTGGCTCCAATAATTCATGTCACATAGATCAGTTGAAAGCAGTGAAGAACTCAAAGTGTTGAAGGCTAAGACAAGTGAATGTAGACCTGGTTATGTTACACATTTTGAATAGCATTCTGCAGTTTAAAGATCTAAAACACTTGAAAATTTTTAATTACATACTTTAATTCTTTTGCTACACATTTCAGCTATCTACACTACTCATGGTTTGTGAATGTCACAAAAATTATTGATAAAATTAATGACCAGAACTACAAATTTTTGCAAAAAGACTACACATTTTAGCGATGCCTTCTATGGCACAGAACAAAGATATTTTTCAATTCATCTAGTTTAACAGTCAGATCCTCTTTCAATTTTGATATCTCTAAGGACTTGTCCTTTGCAGATCTTCACATGGCATTGGACTTGGTGATGCGTGAAATTCTAAGTCTGCTCAGCTTTCTCTGCATAGCTGCCAGACTTGAGCAAATCTTGTGTGAAAACTTTCAAGCTTGTATTCTTTGGTCTTCAGTTCTTCAATTTCTATAAGCATGGATTTTCATTTTTGTCTAGCTGCTTCTTCCTACCTTTTTTCTTTTCAGCCTCAAGGTATTGGTTGAAAGCTGTTCTTGCATTGGAAGCACTGCAGAGAAGAGGCTTAGTCATGGAGACATTCCCAGCATCTTTGTAGCCAAATAGTCTGTGATAATGCATTGTTCAACCAGTCTACTGTTTCATATTGTCAGTGCAAATTTCCTTATTGACTGAGAAACCTCACTCCACTAAGGCCTGTCCATGAGAGAGTACCAGCAATCTGAAAACTTTCCAGTTTTTGATATTCTTTATTGCTAGAAAAAGAAGAGTAGAACAAAGTTTCCAGATGGTCTTTATGCTTCCTGAAATTCTTGAAAGCAATATTTCCAGCAGCCTCCTCATCAAAGCTTTTGTACTGATTGATGTTATCACAATCAGAATTGCTGACTTGTTTTTTGTGGAAATTTTTTTCACAAATGGATTCAGGGTTCAACAATGTAAGTAACTTTACAAGACGGTATCTAAGGGGAGATTTTGCCAGAAGTTTCTCAATGATGAACATTGTTGCAATTCTGCATGTAAACATATCTTTTGTTGACACATTTCCTTTTTTTGGATAAATTTTGCATAGCCCTATCTGCCAGATATCCACATCTTTAGGCATGCTTAGGTTTGACAAAATTCAAATTCATTCAGTTTGGAAAATTTAATTATCTTTTTAGTGTGCTCTTCCTTTACAAATCATAACAGTTTCATGATCATGCTAAATAGATCAAGGAAAAGGAACAACAGTTGATTGCTCCGATATTTTATCAGAAACGGTTCAATGTCTTTCAAAACAGACACAAAAATCTGCAGTTTAACTAAAAATAAAACATCATTGACATTTGACAGCACCACAGAGATGGACTTGATTTGGGGACATTTTTTTCAGTTTTTTTTTAATTAAGTTAACAAATTTGATGATATCTGGTCAAGTGTCTAAGAGTCGTTCACATGTTTGTACATTTTCTAGCTGAAATACAAAAGTAAAAGGGACAGGGTTGCCAGAGTGAACCTTATAAAGCCAAGCAATAAAAGCCAAATAAGTTTTAATATATTTCATCATTTTTTTCACACAACAAAAGCTAGTGATAGTTATTATTAGCCTGCAAATTTTAAAAATAACATTCTTCTTATTTTTTCAAAGACGCATTTTCAATTCTATCCTAAAACACATTTTCTATTCTATCATCCTTCCCATCTACATTTTCTTAGAGTTAAATTTGACTCTCAAACTCATTACTTTTGGCAACAATTTAGACAAATGTAATTTACAGATACACACCGACACAGATGCATAAAGTATCTATATTTTTCAGGATGAACTCACCCACTGCTGACCAAAAGGGATTTTTACTTTTGAAATTGACATACGAATAAAATTTCTTCCATTGTCCAGAATTAAAAAAATGAATGATAAATTTTTGAGATTCTACTTAATTAAAATGTATTTCCTTACTGTAAAATAATTTATTTTCCTTTCAACTACAAATTCAATGAGTATAAATTATCTTGGACAGAGATGTTTGTCTCCAATGCCTTTTATCTTTGTTTTTCCTCTTTTCTTGATTGAGAGTAGTAGCTAGAAGACATGCCTTCATATTCTTTCTCCCTTTCTTTTTAGTCACCTAGACGAGAAAATACAGAAATAACAAGGTTATGAATTTGTTCCAATCAAGGAAGCAAACCACGACTTGTAATAAAATGCCAAATATTACTGACAACTAAAAGAATATTTTTCTTAAGGAAAAATTTTAGCTTATAAAAAAAGCCAGATTTCTAGGATTTGTCATTTTGACTTTCATGCATTGAGAAAAGGGATGTGTAGGCAGCCCAATTTAGACATTTCCAGGACTTTTCAAGGTTTTCAGGACCTGTACAAACCGTTTCACCCCAAGTAAGGCATTAAAGCCACTAGACATAAGGAGTTAAAAATCTTGTCAATATTTAATCTTCTCATTTGTACTCTCTTATTACTCCAAATAATAATCTGCATTCATACTTATGATTTATATTTTGTTTACATTGTTAAGTTCGAATATTTAACAATGCAATAAGATAACTTCTACTGGGGTTTTACAATCATGAAACTTTACAAGGAGCCCACTCAATCATTAAATTAAAAATCAGAATTTATCAGAAAATTAAAGTGAATTTTTTCTGCAGGTTAGAACTTAGTTTGAAGTTACATATATTTTTTTCTTAAATATCTATTGGTTAGCTCAATAACTTTTCAACACCCTGCCCCTCCAAAGGTTGGTTTATCCAAATTTGAAACCCACGCATTATTATTAAAATAAATAAATACAAAATGTTTCAGTATTCAGTCTTAGTTTTGGTAATACAAACCTTAAAATGTAACTGGAAAAAAAAAAAAAAAAAAAAAATTATTTGAATATTGGTATTTATTCATATTTGCTGACTGACCTGAATAATCTTTGCGCAAAGAAATGAGTGAATGAGTAAGAGATGGAATTTAGAAAAAGAAAAAAAAAAAGTTTTGTATTAACAAATGTGGTTTCTTCAGCTGCTTGTCTCGGCTATCTCACAGTAAGAGATGTAACTGAATGAAAGTGTGCAAACTCTTTTTGCCTTTAAGCAGAGTAGTGACTAGATACCACACAAAGAAGTTTTATGAAAATGACAAAAAATTGTTTACATAATTAATACAATGCAAACAGTAACTGTTTGTTTTTGTGGTACAAATTTATTTTCAAAATATAAAATTCAAAATCAAAATTTTGCACATCCAGTCTTTTTTAATCTGCTCAATATCAAACTAAATGTGTTTTTAATATAAAGATTGACAGCCAATTATAAAAATTAAGGTTTTATGCATATACAGCAATGAAGAAAAAATGAAATATTGTACACATGGCCAAGGTGATTATTTTAAGAGGCATGGGAAACTAGCTACCAGGGTAAGACTTCACATTCCCATAAATAATAAATTTGTATGGCTGATATATTGAAGAGACTGCTGTATTAATATTTTTTTTTTTTTTTAGTTCAATGAAGATAAAATAGAGAATCATAAGAAAAGTTGTTTTATTAAAAAATCTATTACATATGGATCTTTAAATTCTATACAATGCCTTTAGTGGTGATGCCATATGACTGTGTGTGTGTGTGAGTGAATGAGTGAAAGAGAAAATCAATTTTGGTTTTTCTTTAATTATAATTTGACAACTATTTTTTAGCAGATGCATGTATTTGAATAAAAAACAAAAAAATTAACATCTACTGAAATGTGTATATGCTAATTATAACCCACAATTTAATTGTTCCTTTTATCTTCAGATGTTTGGTAATATAGCATTGACATTAAGATAATGCTAAAAGAATTATCAGAAATATTAATATTACAAATTCCAAGTTGCCAGTTCGCAAAAAAACATATATTGAAATATTGGTTATGATGAACACAAACAAGTTCAAATATTCACTCTATTTTACAAAGAATTTATTCTCTCTTTTTCTGTTTCCAACGGCAACCTGTTCCAATCAATGGCTTTCTTGTTGTGCTTTTGTAGGTATTCATTACACTTTGAAAAGTGATGGCAACCAAAAAATCCTCGATGAGCAGATAACGGAGATGGGTGAACACCTTTCAAAACACAGTGTTTCTTCTGAAAAAAAAAAAAAAAAAAGTCAATTGATCAATTTTCTATGGCTTAACCATTTGCAGATAACTTAAAACTTGAAATTTATTTATATTTTATTCTAGGCTGTAAGAATTTTTTTTTTAGAAGATTTAGTGATACAAGTCATGAATTCATTCCCCCCCAAGGATATTTGCACATAAGTAAATGTAACAAACCCAACTGGAATTGGAAAGTCAGCTCTCAGATCAACAATTCCAAGACATTATCCATTACGCCACCTGCACATAATATTCCTAAGTGGTCACTCATCTAGGTACTGACTAGGCTCAGCATTGTTTAACTTTGGAACTAATGTTTCAATGTGAAAATTAAATGTTAAAACATTGGTTAGCTTAAACAGAAGTACCCTAGGCACTCGAGTATAATGTGAGTTTTTAATTTTTTTTAAAGGGAGAAAAAAAAAAAAAAAAATAGTGATTTCGCACTATACATAGATAATTTTTTGAAGAGGCTAAAAATCATGTATTATCAATGACCAGTTATACTATATATATAGGTGAAATTTTCCAGGAGGTTATAAAAAAAAAATATCCAGGCAATACACTATACATAATACATGATTATATATGGTATATTACTTTTAAATGACTGTATCTGGTCAAACAAAACAAAGGATTCCTTTTAAAGTAACATACAGAATAATCAATTGATCAAAATTTCGCAGTTCACTTTGTGAAAATCTGACCAAATGTTACAAGTTGCTAAAATTTGACAAAATGTTACAATTTTGTTTGTGCCTCCATTACTTAATCAGCATGTGCATTACAACCTGCCTCAATTTACCTCAAGTAAATAATGGACTATTCCATTTTGCTTGTAAGGAAAGATGGAAGAAAATGATATCAGAGACAGTTTTTGCTTGGGGGGGGGAGATAGCATGAAATGGAAAACCTTGCCAATTTTGGATCTTCTCATTTGTACCCTTTTTCCTAATTTAAACAATGATCATCATTCATTCATACTTCAGGACTTATTATATTTTGTTTAAATATTATATATATATATATATATATATATATATATATATATATATATATATATATATATATTAGCTCCTGAATTTGATTTCAGTTGAGCACTCTGGGAGTGAGGGTGGTTTGTAAACAGTGACTATTATAGCTAATATAAGCGCGACTCTTCGCGTAAGCAAACTGAGTCACTGTCAGTCACTGGGCATGTTTACAAAAAAGTAAATACGCTAAAAATCTACCTCCATTCCTACCGTGCGCCGACGGCTTAGTGGTTAGAAGCTCCGACTGACACCAATTCAGTCGGGTTTCGATCCTAGCTAGAGGCAAAACGGATGTCTAGCCGCACTGATGAGCTGTAAACAGCGAAACAGTCTGTCTGTGGATGACATTTTATATATATATATATATATTCTACAACAGGATAATTTCTACAGGAGTTTTATAGTTGTGAAACCCACTCAATCATTAAATTAAAAATTAGGATTTACCAGAAAATTAAAATGATTTTTTTTTTTATAGGTTACATTTATATTTTTTCTCCCCCCGACTTTCCAAAGAATGGTTTGTCCAAATTTGAAACCCACCCATTATCCTTCGTAAGCCATCGCAACAAACAAGTAATGCAAAAAATATTTGCCAATAGGTCAGAGTGCATAGAGAAGTTGATTTATGCAGAGTAAATGTCAGTAACCTCAGATAATGAATGTAATGGATTTTTATTAATCCAACTGACTTTTTTTTTATCACTTTAAATTAGGTACTGCCACAGAAAACACTGTAGTGGTATGTTAACAAGAATGGACCATTTGTAGAGGTCTGTTTATTAACATGACCACACAATTTATATTTAACGTAAAATACCACAACACATGAAACACAAGAAGGAATAAAAACGATTTTATAACAACAACATTTATATTTATGTAATGATGTACATGTGTAGAGGTTTTATTTTGGTGTTATGCCCCTTTGACTGATTTAATATTTTTACCTGAGCTCACAAAAGTTGAATGAATTATAAAGTCGAGAAATGCTGAATAAACTTGTAGCTTTAGAAGAGTATTTTAAAGAGAAAAGTTCTTGTTTGGAAATGTTCTGTATGTTTGTAATGTAGTTTAGAAAATTTTGTACATATGTGCATGTGTGAATATGCTTTTAAAGTCTGGCTGCACGTGGTCGAGACGGAAATCCTTAAGGTCACATCTTTGCAGGAAAAGGGAACAGAAGAGAAAAAAATGAGCAAGCCCGTGTCTGCTATTTATAATTAATGTTACCACATGACAGGCTCACAGAAAATTGGTGGGAAAACTTGACATGGTCACGTGCTGGAAAATATTTGAATGTGGGTGGATTGCAATGCACACTCGTGTGTATTGATCAATTAGAAGTTGATATTTCCTGAAAATCTGTATGAAGCTGAATAAGCTCTGAATCCACTTTTTAGCACTGTACATAATTCAACATTGATAAGAAAGTGGTAGCAGGATGCTAAAACGTGATACCTAAGGCTTAAAATGAATTTTTAAAAATGAAATTAAAACTAAAATAAGAAAGATCTTTCATGTTAATAGATTAAATTTGATATTTCCAATAAGCAAAATATTTTGCCGATTTTAAAAACTTATTTAAATTGACTGGAAGGAGTTTTTTTTCCTAAAATAGCTGACTAGCACCCATTTTTTAGGCATCTTTCATCACAATGTAATTTTCTTTATTAAAAATTTTTCAAAAATAGAATACTTTTCTGAAATTTTATTTGAGGAATATTAGCCAATTCAAAGTATAATTAATCTAATTTGAAATAAATATTATTTAAGTTTAAAATATCGCAGAAAAGTCATTTTTTAAAAAATAGCAGTAGCTGTTTATTTAAGATGTTGATGTGTTTGGCAGCTTCATGACAGATTGATGTTTATCTAATGTTGTTCTATGGAGGCTTTTGCCATAAAAATATAATTGAAAATAATTTGAGTGCCATTTATATATAATTTTTAAGCACTCAGTAATCTTTAAAATTTAAGAAAATACTCTCCATAATCTAATGTTTTATATTGAATTTCAGATGCTTTCTAATGTTATGTATGGCCGACTGTACTTACAAAAATGGGCATATTTATACACATACAAAAAAAATTCTAAATTCTTTTTAAAATATTTTGTGTTTGTTGATTTGCATTAAGCTTTTCCATTTATGATTAGTAAATATAGTTTTTACTTAAAAATATCATCTAAAAGGCTGAAATTAATACAGAATTTTAGAAAATTCAAAACTGAATAAATTAATCTAATTAAAATTTAAAAAAATGAAAATAATTCTTTTAAAAATTATTCATTAAAATTTTTTTTAAGATTACAGTGTCCTTGACATATCTTATTTATAAAAACAATTAAAAGCTTTTTCTAATTAAATAATGCCAGTTTTATTGCATTTTTTATTTTACAATTCAGAGCAGATTTCCAGTAGTGTTTCTGTTTGACAAAAACAAATTGAGGATTCTCCAAGGAGCCCTGCTTTTAACTAATATAAAGAGGATGGAATTTGAATTTCTCAAAATTTCATGAAGTGGGGGTAAAAGATGTGTAAGAAAAAAAAAAAAAAAAAAACAGATAACAAACATTTTGATGATAAAATTCGTTTTTATCAAGTTTAGGAACTACTTTACACGTTATTTTTAGTGGATACTTGTATTTGAGTAGACACTCCATTTATTTATTTTTGTCTACTGTCCTGAATCTTATTAAAGAAAATTTTCACTATTTATTGAACATTCAGGCCGGTAGACAAAGATAAACAAGCATAAGAAATTAGGTTATCTCCCCTTGCTTCAGCTGCCATTGGAAGATTCTATTATGTTCTTTTTATGGTATAACCCAGTTTTCGCACCAAATCTTATCTTATCTTGGTATGTGATATGGGATTCTTAAATGATCAGTGCCTATCTCTTTACATCTGTGTTTGTAAATGCACAGGGCATAGTGTAGGAAGAAATTAAAGAAACTGGGACTTCTATTTCCTCCTCTTTGTCATAGCCCTGATGATGTGTGAAATATTTCTGTATCATGTAAGATTTTGTAGACCAGTAATGTTCCTTTATTAGATCAATAAATTCAGTGGATTTGGAGCTTGAAAGGTGGTTTCTAATGGATGAAAAGAGGAAGTTGCTATTGATGTTGTCATACAGTTTCCTAGAGGTAAAAAAATTTCTTTGTTTCATGACATATATGCCATCATTGTGTCCCTTACCAGAACAAAACCAAACTGCATCCTGAGGAGCTGATTTTCATATAATGATGAGAGCCTAAATATAATGTTCATTAATACTTTCACCATGATGGATCCAATTGAGATACTCCTGTATATGTGAGAGTCATGAGGGTTACCTTTCTGTTTCTTTAATGAATTAAACTCAACTTTTTTGGAGGGGGGATGCATTTCTTATTCATAAAACTTGCTATTGAATTTGGGGAGAAGCCAATTTCAAAAGTGTGGCCTCAATGTCAAGCAATGATTTATTATGCCTTAGTTTTTTTTTTTTTTTTTTTTTTTTTTAAAACAGCTTTCTTAATTTTCTCAAACATTATTTTGCTCCTGGGACTCAATGTATGGTACTACAGCTTTTGCTGACACATGATTGTAGAGTATCAATAGGAACCTGAAATAACAATAACTGACACTAATTGAATTAAGCACCGATTAGTCAAATATGCTGGACATCTGAAATCCATACTTATGTTATAGTACATTCAAATGAATGAAATGACACTTACCTATTTAAATATATCCTGTTGTCTTCAACATATGAGGACCCAACAATCAAGTTTAAAAAATTGAACAGACTACTCACAGATAATTTCATTATGGGGGTGAAGGCTTGTGCAGAACTATCCACACTTTTCAAAAGAACAGGGACACAGGTTCCCACTGCAGGTTTTCAATTAAAAGTTGTCCTTCTCCTAGAGTAGTTGCCAACCAAGACTAAAGGACCCAATCTGCCGTTATTTAACCCTCAAGAGGCAAAAAAAGAGATAAATTTATAGATTTCTCAAGAGTTTTTTTGGGCGTAAGTGAATAATAAACTTGACTGGAATTTGAACTTGGCTCTCCAATATCTTATTTCAAGATTTTATCCATTGTAATAGATTAACTGAAAGTGCTTGGATGTATAGGACACATATTTTGACATCAAATTTTAGGGTAATAAAAGGACAAACTGGAATCTAAGGAATTTACTTCTGGCTTCGATTTCTGAACCAGAGCCAGAGAAATCTTGTTTGGGTTTTTCTGTCTAAACTTGCCGTATGATATTTTTTTCCATCATTGGTCATGTGCTTCACCACCTACTGCAGAGTCCAATTTCTATTGTAAATTTACCAAGGGATTTAAACCCAGTCACCTTGGTGGAGACAGGGATACATCGACCAGTATACTCACACCATGAAAAGACTTTCAGCCCCCTCTAATTTTGTGCTTTAGTACTATTAAAAAAAACAAAAAAAAAACAATCTGATGCTCCTTAATATGAAAGGGTGATCAAAGTATCTTTTTCTTTGAGTCAAATAACCCTGAGCCACTGCCTTGTAGTACTTTTAAAATAATAAAGGGATGGGTGTTGGATCATCAATTTGTGAGACATTGTTGGGCTTAACATAACTGGCCAATTGATTGGATCAGGTCTCTCTGACCACCCATCTAGCCCAAGTAAGGACCAAAGAGGAGTGTTACCTGTCACATAATCACTTATACATCCAGGTCATAGACTACTCAGCCACCAGGTTTCTTTCCTCAGGCGTTATGAGTTCATTGATTAGTTTTCTATGGCTTATCAACCCTTTGTAGGTTTAAATAGCCAGAAAATATTTTTAGAATTTTTTTTTTTGAGACGATGATTTAATGATCTAAGTCTTACTAATTAACCCATAGCTGGAAGAAGAATAGGTGGTTCATATCTTTCCCAAGAGTATTTAGTTAATACAATGAACCTAACTGGAATTGGAACTTAGCTTTCTGATTAACAATTCTGAATCATTCTCCATTACACTATCCACATATCCAAGCATGCAGTACCTCATATTTCCAGGTGGTGACCCAGCTAGGTACTTCTGCATTATTTCTGAATTAATTTTCAAATGGCATTCATAAATTAGAATTTTGTAAAATGTGCAATACAAATTATTGGTAGGTAAAAAGCGGTCGCCACCGAGTTATTTCCCTTGAATAAACTATTTCTACAGAACAAAAAAATAACTAAAATTATGCTAAACATAAACCAGTAATATAAAATTAATTTCTATACTTGATACCATAAGCCCTATCTCCGCAAACTTCAGCAGTAAAAGAAAATACAGCGACTGACATCAAATTCTAATTGAACTTTGTGTTCTCTATTTACCCAGGATCAAAAGTTGCTTTCTGTAAATTTATTACAAGTTATAAAATTCTATAGGAATAGGGAAAAGTTGTTCCTTCAGGTCATCTAATTGCATGAAGAGATACCATTTTGTAAAGTTTTATTAGCATATCACCTGTATTGGTTGGCAACTAGTCTAGGAGAAGGACAACTGAATTCAGCACTGCATGTAGCTCTATTAAGCACATGCTATACAGCTAATGAAAGGACCATGGAATTTACAATAATGTTGATCTCAACTCCGGCTGTTTAATCAATAAATTAAACAATTGCTCTGCTGATGGCATTTATAATTACATTTCTTAGCTCTTCAAATAAAGCCATTTTCTGCCCTGAAAGTGGTAACCACTTGAGCACAGTTGTGTGGAGTGTGATTAGTAAAGACATAAACAATATTTTAAAAATCTAATATACCCTATATAAGGACAAGAGGATGTTTAAGTCTATTGATTATGATAATCTCACAAAAGCCATTTTACAGCATACAATCCCCAAGAAATGGTTACTCAGTACAAAATGGGCAAAAAGGAAGGGAGGCACTGTTGGGTATTATTACTAGATAAACACAGAATGCCAAAATACACAAATTCTGGTTTATTTCAAGAAATTTATGGTTCATTAACAAGGCTTGCACTCTGATATGAATGATAAATATGTGGAGAAGCTAAATATAGAAATATGTAAAAAGAAAAAGAAAAAAAAAAAAAAAAAAAAAGAAAAAACCCCGAAGGTTTTTGCAAAAGATACAACTGGTAATTTCTATTGAATGAATAAAAATATGAAGCTTACCTGATTAATGAAAGATCCTTTCTTTTGAGCATATGATCCCCACAAAATAAAGACGAGAGCCGAACAGTTGTCATTCAACCACTTGATTACAGCATCAGTTAGTTTTTCCCATCCTTTGTCCTTGTGAGAATTAGCCTGGGATGCTCTAACAGTTAAGCAAGCATTTAGCAATAAAACACCTGAAGCGAAAAACAAAAATTCTTCTTTGCTTTTTAACCATTTATCATATTTTACTTTTAGTTCTCAATCATTTCATTCACTCCTTAAGGGATTTATCATGAATATTGACATAAAAAATCAATTATCGGATCACATTTACTTATCAATGAGAGTATGTTGGAAGGAATTAGTAAAATTATTCTCTTCTATAGTGGAATGGCAATCATTCAAATACCAATTACCCAAAAGCCAGATTATCCAAACAAAATTTGAAAGTATGATGAATATTTTACAACTATGTTCAGAATACATTCATGAAATATTCATGGTATTTTGTTCAGAATATGAGAGGAGGAGGCATGATGGAGTAATGGTTAGCAGCTCGAATTGAGGAATTGGAGAGCAGAGTTCAAATTTCAGTCAAGTCCATTATATTCACTTATGTGCTAATACCCTTGGGAAAAGTAAGAATCCATCTCTTCTAGATATGAGTAAAATAGCAGAGCAGACTGTGTCCTATAGCCTTGGACGGCAACCAGTCTAGAAGGAAATTCCAAATTCAAACCACCTGCTACTTTGTAGGTCTTGCCCTCTTTAGGCAAAGGGTAGAAGATGGTAACTTCAAAAACGAATCCACCTTTGAGAGAGGGTGACTTCAACATCCATGGGGCAAAAGAAACTGGCAAGTCGTTGCACTATTCTGCCTTGAATGTCACCACAATGAGATAAAATGTGCTGAATAAAATGAATGAATAAATGAATGATATTCAGAATAGAAATCTGTTCCAAGCTTTGTTCTCAATAATAAATCCAACTAATATGATTGTGTGAAAAAAAGAAAAGAAAAGCCAATTTATTATTATTGACCAATTAGTCGTTAAATTACAGTGAAAAAGTTTTAAAGGATTTTTATTGTCTCTGTAAGTACAATGCCTTTCTGAGATGAATTATCATTATTTACACAATGTTTTGCCAGTTGTGTCCTCTGACCTTCCTCAGAGGTATATCTATCTGGTTAACCTAGAGGAGTTTCTGAACTGAACACTTTATTTAATCTACAGGGGGAGAGACTTCCCATTATATTGCTCATGTCTAGGAATATCTCGTCTAGTTTTTATATTTATTTAGTACTGCTCAGTTATTACTTACTCATTTCCACTGAGTGCAAGTACACACTGCTTGATTGAACTCACAGTCACTGTCACCAAATTTACAAAACCAACATTTTAATCCACTAGGCCATTGCCCCTAAGACAAAAACCCTTCAAGTATAGCAGGTATTATAGATAGATAATCATTTTAAGGAAGTTGAAACTGTAGAGAAAGTAAAGCAAGGTTAGTTACAGTTGGTAATAAAAGAAAATATTTGAAGGGTGACAAAATATTTAGTAAGAAAATATAACAAGAAATTAATGAGGGAAAGGTAAGTAAGCAGACTATTGAATTATTGGCCTGATTTTTGATAACAGAGCCATTATCTATGAATTAAAGCATCTTGCTCAAGTAAATTGGAATCTCAAGTTATTCATAAGAGCTATTTGCACAAGAAAATGTGATAAAAGAAAATCAACAATAGGGTTCTAGTTCAGAATGAATTCAATTAATTAAAAAAAAAAAAAAAAAAAAAAAAATATATACAATAATTAAAAACAATGTTTAGTGAAATGTATACCTTGCTTTGCCCAGCCAATTAAAGTTCCATGTTTTGGAGCTTCAAATTCAGGAATGTCTTTTGAGAGTTCTTGATACATATTCACCAAGCTAGGGATATAAAATGTTTAAGAAATTACAGGTTTCGTCAAGTTGTACAAGCAACAAAATAATGGACAAGAAATTCCACAACAAGCTAAGATCAATCATTAATATAAAGCAAATAGAACGAAAGGCTCTCGCTTCAGTCCTACTCTATCTCTACATACAGGGGAGGAAGTTGTGTAGATTTAATATAAAGGTGAAAAGAAAAAAATCTCTGGCAAAAGATGAAACACAAATATCATTAAGTATTCTGCAGTTGCAGAATCAGATGTATGAAAAAGTGTATGCGAAATTTTTCATATTGCCCTCTATAGATCTTAGTTGGCACATGCTGATCAATGCTTGCCTCCAACTTTTGATTAGTCCTGCCAATATATTCAGCATCACACTGACATTTAAAGTCATAAATCACCTAACATGGTGCAAGGGGCAGAACATCTTTACAAATAGATTATAGGTTGGGAAGTGAAAACAGGCCATGGACTGGCAGAATATTAACTAAGTTGCACACAGAGATTTGTCAAGCAGACCTCACCAATTCAAGGTAATCACAAATGGGGCACTTTTTCGGGCCAAATGATTTTAGTAAATTGTACAATTTTAGCATGAATGCTGGATTGCACATAGTAAATTCATAATAAATTCAATTTCAGAATTTGATTTGGTTTTACAGAAAATAATTTAGGGCTCAATGAACCAAAGTCTTGGTCAAATTAATTTTTTGTTGCTTAGAAAGAGAGAGAGAGAGAAAAAAAAAAAATCAAATTCGACAAGTGTACTATCAAGTAAAATTAGGCTACAGAGAAATAGGAAAACCCCATTATTTTCCTTTTCACATGTAAACCTTAACACTGGATGCAATTCAATAAATAATACTTGAAAAACTTCAGACTGCTTTCCATTACCAAATACACAAAAAGTCAATACATTTTTAATAGAAGCAAACAAATTTTGCTCATAAAACCCCCACAAAAATGTTGGGCATTGCAGAATCCAAAGGACTACTCATTGTAATCCTATCAAAGAGAAAGAAACTGATTTTAAACCTCTGCTACCTTGCAGCCATACCCAATCATAAGAAAGGCTTCGGGAGTAAATCCTGAGGACAAATCTGGAGCTGGAGTCTCTAAAACAGTCCAGGGAAATTCCAAGTTGGTGCCTGGCATGGGATAATTCACTTCATGGCTTGAAAGAAGTCTTTACCCTTGGGTAGCAGTTTTTCTAGAGATGATGTCTTGACAAAAACACATGGATATAGGGTTGGCATCCTACATTTTGTATCAGCTACTGAAAGAACTATTATAACATTCACTAACTGAACCAGTGTTCCAGCCACTGTTTACCCAGTTCCCAATTCAAACCTTGTTTCTCATAAAATGGATGACCAGTCACCTCTCAACTCTTTGGAGCAAGGTAATTGCAAAAGGGGAGATGCCGGAACAACAAACAAAGCTCGACATCAAATTTCATGAATTGCAAAAAAGGCAATTGTCTACAGCACTTTCAAACTTGTCAAAGACCAGCAGAAAAGAAGAGCTTCTATTTTGCACAAAGCAAAATAAAATTGACATCTTGAGCATCCAGGGACACAGATATCATTACCCTGACACTGACCTGAATTATAACAACCTAGATCAATATCAATTAATAAATGCCTCAGCTACCAAATCTCCCAAAGTTCCACAGTCAGTCAAGTTGGTATACCCCTGTTGGAAAAATATCTAATCTCATAATTGTTGCTGAATTCACCAGTAATCCTCAAACCGTGTTCATTGATTGTTGCTGCCCATCTAACACAACTGACAAAAAACTAGTAGACGACTTTTACTCGTATCTGAATGGTGTAAGAGAGAGCGTCTGTTCCTATAACTTCTTTATCTCAGGCAATTTCAATGGTCAAATCAGGACGGACGATGCTCTATTCACAAATAAGCAAACTAACTAAAACTGGAAGAAACTGACATACTTTGCTTATTCCAACTCCAAATTACAAACACAAGTTTCATGATGCCCCAAAACCGTTTGTGGACATTCTAACATCCAGCTGGACCTCATTCACAAATCAATTACACCTTCATGAGAAACAAGTGGAAGAACAGTGTTTGTAATGCCCAGGCATACATGTCTTTCTCTTCTGTTAGCTCTGATCAAAGACTTGTTTACATACATGTCATTCTTAGCCTAAGGTCATCCAAAATGCTAGTACCAGACCCCATGAATCAAGTCGACTGGGTCAAGGTATTCTCAAACAGAACTTTGAGACATTCCTTTGCTGTAGATGTTAAGAATCGTTATGAAATATTCTCTGATGACATTGAAACCTGATACAAGCTTATATCATCTGCAGAAGAAATTGCACTCTCAAAACTGCCAAAGCGGGATAGTTACAGCACACCTACATCAGTACAGATGTATGTGTGAGAAAGACAAAAAAAAGATCTGCAAAGAATGAAACAGAGATATGAACAAAAGCTAAAGTAAAAGTACCTTTAAAGACACCACTAAAGCACAAGGGATATGAGGCCCATGCCAATGTAGACGCAGTGTACACCCAAGGGGAGATTGACAAGATTGTAAGACTGCATACAGAGAAATAACATGCTGTAGCCTAGAAAACAACATACTCTCAGGAAGAAAATCAAAACCTTTTCTTCATCTCAAAGGCAGTTCCACTGAAAAGTGTAAAGCTAACTGGTTTGACTACTTTAAGAAACTCCTGGGAGAACCATCACAAGTCAGTGGCTTTCACTCCCCCCTGCTTCAAATATCCAATATACTGGACATAAACACCAACCCATTCACTCTCGATAAACTCAAAAGATTTTGTCAACAACAAATCTTCAGGTCTTGACAGCATATCAACATTATTGTGGAAAGATCTAACATTTCCTGACCTCCTCCAAGAGTTTTGTGACCACACATATATCATTTGCCGCCTTCATCTTGACTGAAGGGTGGAATAATCCCTGTTTCAAAAAAAAAGAAAAAAAAAAAAAAAAAAAAAAAAAAAAAAAGTGATCTAACAAGTGTGGTAAACTATAGGGATATAACTCTTATGCCAATTGCAGCAAAAGATTACAATAAGCTTCTTGTAGGATTGTCCCTATCATAGATCCACTCTTCCGCAAGAATCAGAATAGATTTAGCAACCGCTCAAATTCTCCCCATTCACCAAAAATTCAACAAAGAGGTCACAACCTGTTTGATTCCATCAGCAGAGATCTTATGTTCAAAATCACCTAACTCTATGATATACCCTCCAGAATTATTGAGGCAATCAGAGCTCTGTACAGAAACATCACTTCCGCTATTGTATTGTCTGATAGTGAGACTAATTCCTTTGAAGTTAAAGCAGGATTCCTACAAAGTGACACACTTGCTCCTTTTCTGTTTATAGTTGTTCTGGACCATGTTCTGCATATTTCTCTCGACAACATGGAGGAAAATGAACTCTTTTTGAAACCTCATCAAAGCAGTCGATAGCCTCAACAATACCTGACTGACCTTGACTTTGCTGATGATCTTACATTAATTTCTCAATATATCAAGATTCTTGCTGCAATCACTTGAGCAAGCAGCAAACCAGGTAGATCTCAATTGCAACGAAAATAAGACAGAATACATCACAACATCTCCTGAACCATCCCAGTTGAAATCAATCAATAAGATATCCGTCAAAAGATTTGAGAACTTCAAATATTTTGGATCTCAAATAGATTCTCAAAAAGACTTCAACATCCACAAAGCTCTTGCATGGAATGCATGTAACAAATTTGACGCCGAATCTTTCATCCCCCTTAAAAGTTCAAACCTTTTGATCATTGATTGAACTGTATAGATCAGAAACTTGGACATCTCTTTGTCTTGAAAGACAACTGTATGGAGTATATACAAATCTAAAATAATCCAGAACATCAGTTGGAGATCCCATGCAACACTTAACACAACCTACGGAGAACTGAAACCAATCTCTCTAAAGCTCAAGCAAAAACAACTACAGTTTGCCAGCCACTACCACTAAGCGGTCAGTGAAGTCATCTTATCTTTACTCCTATGGCATCCATCTGGAAGCATCTTCTCACGAAAATTGACTTTCCCAGACACCATAGCTCAGGACTCAGGGTTGGACATTGGTGATCTGGGGACAGCCATACAGGACTGAACAGTATCGAAATGGATTGCCAATGGAGTTCTGACCAACCACAGGGAGTTCAAAAGGATGATGATGAATCATATCAATTAATCAGTACATCATATAGTCAAAGCTATACTCTAGATATGGTGGCAAATTCCAGTAACTTAAAGAGCCTCTAAAATTGGAGAGGGGAAAAATGATTTCCCTGATCCTCCACCTGTTGTAATGTATGGCATGAGCGTGTTGAGGATGGAGGAAACACCTAAACCGATTGTTCTCCTAAGAACTAATAGGTAGAGATGAGAAGTAACAAAATAACACTGCCTTGGAAACCACAGCAACTTTAGGAACAAAATGGCCACAGGACCGACTTCACAAGACAAGTTTTGCCAACTGCTGGTTTTCCTATTGCTTTTATTGGTATGAGGCATCTTACAAAAACCTGGATCTTGACCAGTTGCATTTCTGCAACTGGTGTTGACATACATGTCCACATGCAATCTAGGATCTTTTTTGTGTCTGCAGTAATATGTGTTTGCCACCCCACATTGTTTTAATATATTTGTGTGTGTATGTGTGTATATATATATATATATATATATACACACACACACACACTTTTATATTAGTTTTTAAATCCCGAGTAATTATCAAGTTTGTTTTAAATTATAAGAAAATCTCTTACCTTGGAGGAATGGAAACACCAGATTTTACACTAAAACATAAACCTAGAAAAAGAAAATCATTATTTATATATTTCATATACACGCACACACAGTTAATATTTAATTTTTTTAATCTTTACTCTTCACTCACACCAGTTCAACAGAAACAGACCAATTCAGTTATATGAAATTACCAAATACTGTAGGTTACTTTGAACATACCCACCATCCATGAATGTATAGTTATTTAGACCTACCTAGGTTTATGAATTTCTAAAATATTTACCGTTGAAATACCTAGAAAGATCAGATAATTGTTTCTATAAAAGGTTAAAAAATAGTTATTTAAGTTTAAATCTTTATTTTTACAAGTCTCTGCCATTTCAAAACTTTGATTTTCAACTTGCACTTAGTTTACAAATTTAAAAATCTACAGATCAGGAAAATGAAATTTGATTTAGATTTTTTTTTTTTTTTTCAAGTTTTAGTGAAAATTCAAAAAACTTTTACATTTTTCAGAGATTTATTCTAATATCTAAATTTTAAATGGAAATCCTTGCAGAATTTCAAACAGTGGAAGTATTTTAATTCTATTTAATTTTTTAAAAACAGAAAACCGTTTTATTGCAAAAATTGAAATATTCACAGATTTAGACAAATAGGGAAATTGACAAGATTGAAAATTCTGATTCCTCTCTTGGATTATCTCAGAAAATCAAGCAAGTAGATTGTAAAGAGACAAGTATAATTAATAGGAGAATCATGACTACAAGAGAAAGAAAACACTTCATAAATAGTATAAAGATTTATCCAGAAAATGTACTTACCATGTGCCTGGTTTGGGCCATGGTATGGATCTTGTCCAATGATCACAACCTTTACCTAAAGAGAAATGTAACATTATGAAACAAAAGCCATTTCTCCTATTTTGTCTGTTGGTTTGTCGTCATGTGAAAGCAGAGTAGTAATGGTTCTGCCTATCAAATCATTTACAACGAGCTTGGCTTCCATAAAGTGTGTGAGCTGGGTACCAAGAGAGCTTAGTGCAGAGAACAAGCACAAATGTGTTGAAGTCTATCAATGTTTACTTGACCATGACAACAATGAAGGTGGAAATTTTTTTGAGCAGAATAGTCACAGGAGAAGAAATGTGGGTCTATCACTATAAGCCATAATCTAAAAGACTGTGTGGAGTGGAAGCACCCGGTTCACCAGTGATGAAGAAATTCAAGACTCAATCTTCAACAAGAAAGGTGATGCCAACTGTTAGTTTTAAACTCAAAAAAGGCTTATACCGGAAAAATACATGGAAAAGAAGGTGTACGATCAACAGTCCATGATATAGTGATTTGCTGGTTAACAACTTGAAGACAGCAATTTATACTAAATGCCAAAGCTTATTGTTGAAGAATAGTTTTGCTGTTGCATGACAATACATAACCACATACGGCTGGCCAGACCATTGAAACAATTAACCGATGGGGTTTTGAAGTGCTGGAACACCCTGTCTACAGTCAAGATCTTGTACCTTCTGACTATCATCTTTTGGGCTACTCAAAGATACTTTATGAGGTCATCAATTTCTTATGATGATAAATGTTATTTAAAATGTCAATCGTTTCATGGACTGGAACGTTAGTAGTGCAGGAAGCCGTGCATAAATGGTTGCCTGACCAACCGAAACAACCTTCTTGGAGAGAATATGGAAGCTTGTGGATAATTTTTTGACTTTCCATTGTATACATATATTGTGTATCTAGGCAGAAAATGTTATTAAAGACAGACATTTTTGTATCAGCTCTAGCAAATTTTACAAATTCATCACTCTAACAAACTTCAGGATAAAAGTCTTAGCGTCCTTAGGCATTGAAAATTTGTTCACTAACGTTCCAGTCCATGAAACAATTGACATTTTAAATAACATTTATTATCATTCTCCTTTACCACCCCTGAAAACTAACCCCACAAAAAAAACTTATTAGCAACAAGTCCCTTTCCATGATCACCTTGGTAAAATTTATATACCCAGACTACTGGTGCTACTATGGGAAGCCCTCTCTGGCCTTTAGAAAACAGAAGATTTAATAAAATAAACCCACCATTTATGCCAGATATAACATCTTCATCCAAACCAAATCTCTTAATGACATTATAGAACTTAAAATTTATGGAAAAAAAATTCCATTTTAAACTTTACTTATGAACTAAACAGTGACTATAAAAAACAAAACAAAAAGAAACTCCATTTCTAGATATTCTCATTGACTATAACAGCAATAATTTTGACATATTTCCATACAAAAAGTCTACTCTTGCCTTCTAAACTACAACAATGAATGCCCCGAGAAAAAAAATATAAAATTGCTGTCATAAATAACCTAATCCAAAGAGCTAAACTCATTTCTTCATTGAAAATAATTTTCTTTAAAGAATAACATGAAAAACACATTTCAATAATGAGTGCCCTAATTACATAGTTCACAAGGAAACCAAATTTCATTTAAACAATTTTAACAATAACCAGTCATAAATGTAAAATTAACAATAACACTATTGACATATATTAACCAAAATAAAAAAGCAATAAAAAAATTAAAACAAAACAAACATACAGATATATAAAATCAGTCACTGAAAACAAATACATCAGATCATTATTTGGAAGAAAAAGAAAAAGAAAAAAGAACTAGCAACCCATTTATTAAAAATAACTCTCAAACATCCAAACATATACAAGACCAATGTTGTAGTTGTATATGAATATGCTTGCCCACTGAGAGAATGTTTCTATGTAAAAAAAAAAAAAAAAAAAAAAAAAAAAAAAATAAAAACATCTTACATAGGATATATCAACCACACTCTCATGGAGACTCACCTGCCACCTATTGGACCAGAGTGCCATTAGACAACACAATAATAAGCAGCATAAGGGTCATAGTAACATTACACAGCTAATAACAAGCAATACCAAAATACTAGCAAAATAGTAAAAACAGACATGATCTTTGAAGCAATACTCACACAACAAAAACAACCATCCATAAATAAAAACAATCATAACCTGAGTCCACACATCCACAAATGTGATTATATATATATATAAAACAAAAAAAAAACACACACACACACACACATTATTACACTCATTAGTTCCTCCTACCCTGATGATTACTTACAAAAGTTGAAAACTTGGAACATATTTCTTCCAAAATGAACTCTGGACAATTTGTGATAAGGATTATTCCATATTTGGAAAAGTTGACCAATAAAATTAATCAACATAAAATGTCTGTGGCTTTATATATATATATATATATATATATATATATATATATATATATATATATATATATATATATATATATATATATACATACATACATACATTTTTTTATATGAATTCTGTTTAATGTTTCTTTTCTTTTAAGAAAATGCATAAAAAAGCCCAAGACAAAATGATTCGAGTGTGAAAGTTTAGACAAAACACAATAAGTATTTTATAGTTTTAAAATACATCATTAAAGAAAATATAAGAAAAAGATTAAAACTGTGTAATACTCATCAATGAAACAAGTCTGCTTTAAAATGGGGTTTTTAGCTGACAATATTCATTCACTTGGTCAGCAATACAATTTTTGATCTGTTGGACCCACCTCTTTTGTATGAAATGAGCATAGCATCCCCTCTTTTTGATTTGCATACACCTTGACTTGTATGGATGCAGAGATATGAAACCAACTGATTGTTAAAAATCTGTAGACATGACATTGCTTTACATGAAGATGCAATTTTCATTTTTTTTTTTCTTTTTAAAGTGTTTAATTTCTATAGTAAAGTTTTCAACTGGGAAATCTTTTGTGAAAGACAACTTCAAACCTTATCTCAGCAAATTGACAAATATCTTTTTTTCTTTAAGAGGAGACTATTTGGATATGTGTAGGGTGACAACTCAAAGTGCAACAAGTTTTAAAAACACCACAATAAAATTGCTCTGAAAATATGGAAAAATCTGCAACAGTCATGAAATAGTGACTAATTTAAGGAGACGTGGAATAAAAACTTATCACTCACGAGAAATTGTATCTTTATGAAGAGAAAAGATGCAATTCTGTTTACATACTAATTTTATATAAATAGCCTAGAAAATAAATGAAAAATCTTTAATTGAAATGGGAGGAAATTTCACTATTTTGACACATTTACACAGTGTGAACTTGGGCAGTTTGAAATACCTGTGAAGAGAGATAGCAAAAATGATAAACATTGCTAACAGTTACAAAGGACAGGAAGTTGTTATGAACCATAATCACCAAAGTCCTAAAGTGACACAGCACATAGAAGAAGATTGTCCAGTGGGCTTGCAAACAGACATTCGGTATTTTTGTAACAATTTCTAAATGATATATACTATATCTGGCCTGAAAGTAGACAGTCTTAAGATTTCAGAACTGGTTTAAATTGATCCTAATTCCAAGTCTGTCAATTTATGATTATTTGAAATGAATAAAAACTTGTAAAAGTTTAAACATTTTCTTTAGATGGTCAGTTCTGGATAGTTGCTATTTTTGCCTCTAAGTCATTGGAATATTGCTGAATAGAATGTTTAAAGTTGATATTCTTAAAAAAAAAAAAAAAAACTATATCAATTGGATTTGGGCCTCTACAAGTCAGAATTCAATCAAATTAATTTTCAGCCATATTTTGCCTCTAATTGCCCAAGTAACAATAGCAAAAAATGCCAGAGACATTTTTTTTTTCTTTTTAGGACAAGTTGCCAAACAGTAAAGCAATTTAAAAAAAATGTAAGAGAATTGTTCTTGGGATGATATTTAAAACCATAATTGCTTTTGTCACCATATGCTGGGCACCAAATATTAGATTAATTTTCAGCATCACTTTATATTTATCAGAAAGTAAGGATCTAGACTCTTTTTGGGAATGTTGCATTTTTACTGAAGACAAGGGTTTCTAGACCTAAACCCCTATTTTTTTTTTAAAATTAGAAAAGTGAAAATTGTTTTAATCTTTCTCTTAAATACAAATGACATTAATAAAATTTTATAATTGAACTTAGAATCATTCAAAGGGCTCAGAATGTATAAATTTTCACTTGGCTATTGCGTGGGTGCAGTTTTGTTAATTTTTTTTAGACAGTACTGATAAATAAAATAAAATTCCTTACATCTTTGACTGCACACATTCGGGTCCATGAAAAGACTTCATTTGTTGGTGGGTAGATTGTATATTTATTTCTTTCAGCAGCAACAAATTTGCAAAGCTATGACAAAAAATAAAAATATAGCAGAAATCAGATAAAAATCATTACAGGTTTGTTTTGGAGGGGCTAACCAAGTGATATAGCAAAGAAATACATGGTATTAACATATGCTCTAATCTTGTATTTAAATTCTAATGAAAACTTTGCTGGTGTGAATTAGCCTAGTTAAAGACTGTAAAATCCATTCATAATTAAAACAAGTTTACAATTAACTGGATACATAAAATTATCACACAGGCAGTATAAACAAATTTAAATTTACATTTTGGTCAGCAGTTTTAACATTTTTTTCACTACAGAACCAATTTCTTCTTAAACTCTAAGAAATCCAAGTGTAAATTTCCTAATGAAAAAAGTTTTTTTTTTTTTTTTCATGTTTTGGTAAATTAAGCCATTTTTTTTTTTAAATTAATGTATTTCTACAACTCCTGCTACCTTTTCTTAATTTTAAATTCAATTTTTCTCATACTGGCTCCATAAAAAGTTGTATAGTTTAGATCCAAAATGATGACAAAAAGACAATTTAAAAAAAAAACAAAACAAAAAACAATGAATATCAGATTTCTATTTTAATTTTTATACAGGGTCCCCGCAGATCTGTGTAAAAAAAATTCAAGGACTATTCCCGGTCTTTGTTAAGTTTTAAGGACTGACACTGATGCATTTCATTTTTGCAAGAATATCCAAATCAATGTTTTTCTCCTGAAAAAAATGGCATTAAAAAACTAATCGTAAATATTATGTTGACCGCTGATGAAAAAAACAACCAAAATTTTGAACATTCTAGAAAGGATTAAAAAAATTAAAATAATGAATAATACTTTAATCTTTTCTGTTAATAATAACAAACATTTTGATGATAAAATTCTGTTTTTATTAAGTTTGGGACTTTTTTCATCATGCTATGCTGATTTTTAGCAAAAATGTGGAGGTACTGAATTTAAACAAACAGTTTACACATAGATACACATTGGCAAAGGATGGGACATGTAAAGAATCTACTTTTTCAGCATGAACTCACTCACCAGCTGACTATAGAGATAAAAAGGACTTTTTACTTTTGAAATTAAAATATGAATAAAATTTCTTCATTTGTTCAAATTTTAAAAAATGCTGATAAGTTTTTAGAGATTCGACTAAAACATATTTTATTACTGTAAAATAATTTATTATTTTCTTTTCAACTCCAAATTCACTGAATATGGATTAATTTATTTTTGACGGAGATGTTTCCTTCGCTCTGCTGCCTTTTATCTTTGCTTTTCCTCTTTTCTTGTTGAATGATGGGAATAGCTAGAAGACATGCCATCATAATATTTCTCCTTTTCTTTCTTGTCACCTAGACAAGAAAATACAGAAATATTTCTCAGGAATCCTGTCTCCAGCCTGCCTTTGAATTGGCAAATATAAAATTTTGTTAGTGATTTTAGATAGCTGTAAAAATAGGGTTCTTTGAAAAAACTGACCACCCAAAAGCTGTCTGGGTGTTCCTCCTTTCCAGTTGGTGGAACTCAAGTGGACGGAAAGAGGTGGTGGGTCGCTTAGTCATTATCCATATAATGAGTGGTCAGTGAAAGGACCAGCAGTCAGTGAAATGGCCAGCAATCAGTGAGACAGTCAGGTAGTGAGTATGTAGGGGACTTTTTTCCGTGGGTGGAAATTAGTCAGATATCAGAGGTTCGCTTTCTCAAAGCAGAATGAAGACATTACCAATTAAGTGAGAAATCATTTTTTTTTTCTACTTCCCAACCAGTGCCTTGAAAAGCATGTCATTATTCCTTGATGGCATTGATCACAGCCCTAATATTGAAATAACCCTGTAGAACATAGCAAGCCTGGTGTATACACATACAGCTGACCTTGGATATCATCAAAGCTTGTGCAGTGATGTGCAGAAACACATCATCACAACCAATATCAGACTTTATAGTTTACATGGGCTTATGGCTATTTTGTGTTGAACTACCAATTCTGATACTGGGTTCTTTATTGATGGAACAGTTCACATGGCACTCTCTGGGGATAGGTAAGTGACACTTGGGTAAATTTTCACTGCAACAGACTAACATACTAAATCTTTCTTTTGGCTCGTGAGAACTATTTCCATCTCTCCCCATATCACTTTTCTCTAACTGTAACTCTTGCCTTATCTAGAATGTAATCCAGCTATATAAACCCATGATCAGAATTTCCTATCATTTGGACTGGTCACTTAATCCCAAAAGATTTTTTTTTTTTTTTTAATTTCCTTTTCCCTATTTCTGGACACAGAAAGGCTTATGGACATTTCACATTGAAACGCTGGTTCTTGTATGACCAAAGTTAAGCAACAGTGATCTTAGGCAATATTTAGATGGGTGACTGCTTGGGAATATCTGGTACTATAAGCTTGAATGTGCAGGTGGTGTAATAGATAATGGCAAGCAATTGAAAATTTGAGAACAGAGTTCCAATCCAGGTTGAGTTTGTTATATTCACTTATGCACAAATAACTTTGGGAAAGGTAGGAATTCACTTCTTCTCCCCAGCTATGGGTTAATTATTAGGACTTGTATCAGTAAATCATTATTCCCCAAAATTCTTGCAATCTAAAAATATTTTCTGGTTTTAAATAACCTGAAAAAGGTTGATAAGCCATAAAAAATAAATCAGTCAACCAATACAGCAGACATAAATGGGTTAAATGTTTTGTGTGCAATCAAGTTTACTCTTCTATTCATGGGGATTATTTATTAATGAAGGAGCTAAGTGGTGTATATAAAAGTTAATAAGAAATTGCATTGGGGGTGGGGGTAATAGTCCTATAGAAATAGCGTACCAAATTAACTAAATTTCATGTCAACAATTGCAAGACATCAGATGTCCCTGAAATAGAAGTGAAGGAATACAAACATAACATGTAAAATTATATTGCAGCAGATTTACTCTTGAAATGCACGGAAAATGAATAAAAAACAAAACTGGATAATCAGGTCAAGAATTAAAGAAAGCGCTACCAACAGAAGAATATAGATCACATACTGACTTAAAATATTCCTTTTTGATTTCTGGTTCAAGCACTTTCATCCATGATGGACCAACATTCACAAACAGACCTTGGGTACGGGTCTGGTGAAGTTTTGCAAGTGCCTTTATACGATTATCTTCTGCTCGAGCCAACTGATTTGAGCAAGGAGATGAAGCAACTGGAGAATTTTGTTCCTTTATACAATTCTCTTCTGCTTGGGCCAACTGATCTGAGGAAGGAGATGAAGCAACTGGAGGATTTTCTATTTTTCTACTCTTAGGAGACTTCTGGAAAGAAAAAAAATTAAAACTTGGAATAATAACTGCATTTCAGTTTAGTCTAAGACTTGAAATACAAACATATAGGATATATTTCTAGATTCTTTCATCATTTCACCCCCAAACAAGGCAATAAAGTCACTAAGACACAAGGGGTTACTGAGTTAGAGAATATAATGAAAATATACTATTAAGAAGGAAGACAATAAAAGAACAGGAATTAATAAGAAAGATGATTGAGATTGCATATAAATTTTTGAAGATCAAAGTTGACTGGGAAGCAAGAAAAAGAGTTCCACAAGCAAGAAATGTGAGAGAAGAAACTGTCAGCATAGTACTTAGTTACATCTAGCCATTTCAACTGTAAAATGAGGAGACCTTACTGCCAATCTAGTACTGCAATTAAACTCAAAGTGTAGAAACCATAGGGGAAAGTTCATCAGAACTTCTATAAAAGGAATTTTTTTTTTTTGTAAACATTGGTTTCTGGCATTTCTTATGCAATCACACAGATTTTTTTTATTAGTTTACATATATTTACTATTATTATTAATGTATTTATTATTTTAATTTGATGAATTATTTAAATAGGTTTAAACTGTTTACTTTTAATTTTTCAGATATAGTCTTTCCAAATCCAATATACCATAAAATTTCTTAAAATGAAAAGAAAATAGTTAAATCAAAATCTTCTATAATTTAAAATAAATACATAATTCATTAAATTAAAATGAAATTAATAATTACACTAATAATAAAGTAAATTAAAAACAAAAAGAAATTTACTCATCCACACACATTCTGTATATATGTGCATATCAAGTGACCCTTAAACACATAATTTGACTATAGTAAAGGGATATATCAGTCAGTCAGTTATGTACCATGCGTGGTGTACTCTTAGATGATCATGTATCTTTTGATACATGATTGACAAGGCAGATTTTTCCCACAGTAGGCTGCCATTTCTTTCTGTGGTAGATAAGTTGCCATCCAAGGCTATAGAACCTGGCTTTCCTTGCTGGGGGACAAAGATGAGGATTTGTACCTTTCCTAAGGGTATTAACACGTAAGTGAATGCAATGGATCTGACTGGAATTCGAACTCAATCTGAGCTGCTCTTGTGTATGATGTGAGCCCCTTAAAATTAGGTCACCAAAAGTTGCATGACATGGGAGTATATATGGTGTGTAATATATATATATATATATATATATATATATATATAATAAAAATAATAATATATTGCTCTACTTTGTGTTGAAAAGTAAATGCTACAAACAGTGGAATTTTACTCCATCTGTTCTTTCTCTCATTTGTATGTGTGTGTATATAAAATATTTAACACAAACTAGCATCTTAGTCGACTACAGAGAGATAGAGAGATTCTTTGATTTGTATAAAGGGAAATAATTAAATAGAAGATGAGGAAGTGTAGCATCAGATATATTACAAATATTTATTAGTCACATTAACCTATTGATTCCAATCATCCCAATTTTTTTTAATGGTATATATGTAAAAAATTATTAGGAATTTAAAATGGATATTTCAAAACTATATATAAATATATACAACAATATATAAAAAAAATAAATAAACAGAGGTAAAAAGTGAGGGTAAGAAACAAATTTACTCATTGTAAAGTGCTGGATTGGAAAATATTAAAAAAAAAAAAAAAGTAGGGGGAGATAACTGATCATCACTACATGCCCTTCAGAGTTAAATAAGGACAAAAACCTATGTACACAACAAATTTTTAGATTGTGAGAATTTTTTTTTTCTAGAGACAATAATGATTTAGTGATACTAACTAACCCATAGCTTGTGGTGGGGGGAAGATGCAGTGGATTCATACCTTTCTCAAGGGTATTTGCACAAACTAACCCAACGGGAATTGGAACCCTGCTCTCCAATTTCAAATTAAGAGCAATTATTCATTACACTACACACACATCCAAGATTACAGCAACTGGAATTCTCAAGCAGCCTCCTATCAAGGGACTGACCAGGTCTAATGTTGCTTAACTTTGGTGATCATACAGGAACCAGGATTTCAACGTGATGTAGCTGTAAACCCCCGACTGCAAAAAATGTACTTTCTCTACATATTTTAGCTGGTACATGTTGTGATCCAAGTAGGTATCCCAAACTTTTTTTTTTTTTTCAATATACCAAAAACCTTTTTTTATGTAAGCATAGAGATTGTTGAGGAGGCACGGATTGAGAAATTGGAGAGTCAAGTTTGAATTCCAGTAGAATCCATTACATTCACTTACATGCTAATACCCTTGGGAAAAGTATGAATCCTCTTCTTCCCACCCCTCCCCACTATAGATAAATAGCAATACAGACCAAGTTTTATAGCCTTGGGTGGCAACTGGTCTAGGAGAAGGACAACTCTGAATTCAAAACCCGAGCCTCCAGGTTGGGGGTTGTGCAGTAGGCTAACTACCTACTCACTTAAAAACTGGCTTGTTAGAGAAACCGCAACAATATCTTGCAGCCCTATATTCCTTAAGGAATTTAAAGGCATAATATATAGAGATGGTTGTGGAACATGAAAAAGTACCAAATTTACCTTTGTAGCTCAATTAATAAGAGTTATGACCATTCAAAGTTCAGAAATTGTGTTTTGTGAAACACTGAACAAAAAGCCATATTTAGCAGTATATAACTAGAGATAAGGGACTTAACTGAATGAAACATCTTTATAAATGTAATGTCATAGTTAAGAAAAAGAAAGATAATATAAAAGGAATTTAGAAATCTTAGATCAGCCCACCCTTAAATAGGAGTGAAAATCATATTCTGTCACAATTTTTGTGAGGAAATGTTATAAACAAGCAAATCTGATGGCTCATACAAGTTTTATTTCATCAGTTAACTCATTGAAACTTCCTATTATGATTCAGGACTTCTTAAAGATTAGGCTAAATCTTTTTTTTTTAATAGAATACCAATTACAACCATTTATTTGCAACATATATAAACAGCACGGCCAGGGGCCTAATTTGGCATGGCGGGGAAAAAATAAAAATAAAAAAAGGAGGTCAAAAGTACACCTTACTGAACAATCCGTAAAATGACATCCATTAAAGATACAAGCCTGAAACTTTGAAACTTTACCAATTCTAGGATGAGGAATTAAAAAAAAAAATAATAAAAAAATAAATAAAAAACAGTTGTTTTTTTTGTAATATCAAAACACGTGTTTCATATTGGAAGATTTTATGGAGTTATCCAACTTTTGACATGCAGAAAAAAAAAAAAAAGGATTGACAACATCCAAATTTTGAAATTTTCTAAATAAAATAATCCATTTGCCAATTTTTAAATCAATGCTTATTATAAGGCCTTAATTCCACTTTGAAATGGAAAAGAAAACAAACAAAAAAGCAAATTTCAAGTGTGTGAAGACATTTACTGAAAGTGATGGAAGATTTTATTGGCAATTTGAATGATCCTATCCAGCTTGAATTTGGTTATATGGTCATTTTCTTTCACCATTTGCTTTAGGAGTGAATTTATCTGGCCCAAATTTAAATAGTTGATGAGAGCAGTTTCCAGCTGACCTTTTCTTCCACTGGTTTTGATTTTTATCCCCAAGACAACTTTTAACTATTCAGTTGATCCTTTAGAGCTTCCAAACCACCAACTGACACTTGTGACACATCTTTAGTCGTTTTTATAGGACCAACCTGTTGGAGGACCGAGTTTATAATTCTTTTTTTCTCCATTTCATTTTTGGCAATTTTTGTCTACACAAAGTTTCACAAGGGATTCTTGTTCCTTGTGTCTCTGCTGTGGTCCTTGACATGCCAACAGAATTGTAGATCAGTTGCCGGTTTTTTCTTCCATCCAACATGTCTTCCAATTGGGCTTGAGCATATTGGATGTCAACTGATTGCGTAGCAATGCATTTCACTTGGCTTGCATGCTAAATTCTAAATATGTGTTCCCCTGTAAGATTTGATTATATATATATATATATATATATATATATATATATATATATATATATATATATATATATATATATAGAGAGAGAGAGATATTTTATATTGAGGGCAGCTTCTCAAGGCAGCTCTTGTCTCTTGATAAACTTCCCTTCCAAAAAGTCATGCAGCTGATGCTTTGTAACAAGGAACTTATTGAATACGTTAACCAAAAATTCCAAGATAAGTTTAGGGGTTTTGAGTACTTACAAAATAATGCATCACTGCAAAAAAAAAAAAAAAAAATAAATAAAAATGTACCTTCAAATACACCTTTACTGTCAGTATCTAACATCAATTGTGGATCAAACATTCAAAACTGGACTATTGATAAGATTCCAGAAGACTAGAGCTTCTTAGATAAATATTGACTAGTCCAACTACAATAAGGGAATCAAGTCTTTCACCCAGATTATCCGTCAGAATACTTTGTACTTTCAGATTATTGGATGTTGTACACCCTGATAAAAATGTATTAATGTGGTTTTTGTGGTGAAACATTACCAATGCATTTTCAAACAGATTAAAAAAAACCTATTAGATTTTGATTTTTGAACGATAGCTCGTTATTTTAAATAGGAAACCTATTTTTATTAAGATTTTCTAACAAGAAAAAAATAAAATAAAATAAATAAATTTCAAAAATAATTTCATTCCTTTGTGAATAATCTTGAAAAATTCATTAAAATCCGAGAATTATTTGATTTTTGCAAGAATTTTCAAATTAGTGTCTGTCACCCGCAAAAAGAGGTGAAAATTTGCTATGTAAATTACTGCTGACGCAAGAAAAACAAGTTTTTTTTTTAATCAAAATTTCAAATGTTCTAAAAAGGAGTAAAAATTTTAAAATTAAAAGGAGTAAAAATTTTATTTACATAATCAAAAAATATTTTTATTGTTCCTCTTAAATAATAACATACGATTTTGACGATAAAACAATGTTTTTATTACGTGGCTAGAGCATGTTTTCATCATGGTATGCTGATTTAGCGATCTCGTGGAGGTACTTACAAAATTTGAAAATTAAGAATTTGACTCATGAGTAGTTAAGAAAAAAAAATCAATAATTACTTTTTTTGACTTTATGTTTGTTAATTACTTGGCTTCTTCGCTAAACGAGCAAAATAAATAAATAAATAAATAAAAATAAAAATAAGAGAAGAAAACTTTGTAATGGACCGTGAGAAAAACCCAAAATTACATTTTTTCTTTTTTTTCAACCACATTTTAAAAATATTTTCAAACCACAAGTTGTGCTACTAATTTTTGCAATTATTTTTAGCCCCATATACAGGGTTGTCCGAAAAATTAGAGGTGACAAGACTTTCGGACCACCCTGTACGTAGGACCGTCACTTTTAAACTCGACCATGTGCCGCATTTCATTCAAGTGAGCGTGCGGAGACATATCTACTACTATTATTATTATTTAAAATGAAAAAGCATCATGTTAGAAAACAGATTTTAAGTTTTAAAATTATTAAGAAAAGTCGAGGGTTTCAAACAATAATCTAAAGAAAAAAAAAAAAAAGCCTGAAGGTAGGCGGTAACTGTGTCTCCCTTGAAAGAGACTTCCAAAAAGTTTTTTTTTTTTTTTTTTTAGATGCAAGATTGAAATAAAAATTTATTAAAATAATTTTTAAAAAGTCAACAGCGATGTATCGTACGTATGTATGTATGTATGGACAATAACAATATTATCTACAAATATTGGTAGGAATATTCGGAATGTGAGAAATTATTTGAATTTGACATTTTCAAAACGAAATTTTATTTTTTTTAATTATAAATGAATTCAGGTGTCAACGCACTCTAAGATATTTGATTGAAAATAAATGAAATTCAGTATTCTTTTTAACAACACTTAAAAATACGTAAATTAAAATAAATTTTCCAAACATTTATTTTTATTGCCTTCAGAATAAGATAAAATATTAAAATAATACAATTACGAGGGAAAGGTAATTATTATTTCATGACAGGATAATTTTTTTTTTTTTTTTTTAATAAAACAAAAGGAATAAATTATATTTAAAATGTTCATCCAAACATCGTTAATTTCTATTTTCTATGCTGCAACAATATGACTTTTTCAGTTTGGGTAACTGAAAAAAAAAAAATGGGGGGAGGGAGAAAATATTCAACTTTAACTAGTAAATGAATTTCTATGGGAATTAAATTTGGTCATGAAGCTTTTGAAAGTAAACATTGCTTCCCACCACAAAGAACTTGAAACCATGTGTAGCAACAAGGCAAAGTTTATAGACACGTGAGAAGAAAAGTGAAGTACTTGCTTTGCAGTAACTTGCCGGTGTCAAGATGTGGAAAAAGAAAAAAAAAAGAAATATAAAAGTTTAAATAAAACCAAAGAAGGAAGAATTTAATTAACAACAGCTAAACAAATCAATCAACTTTTAAATTTAACGAATGACGTTCATTTACAAACATCATTATTACAATGTTATTGTTAATGTTCAAATTTTGTTTGAACCATATACACTCAGTGTTCTTACTTAGAGCATTTGATGTTCCTAACACGCCGATTTAAAAAATCTTACCTGTGGTGATTGACTCAACGAACGTTTTACGGGTGTTGACTTGAATAAAAATGAAATTTTGGTTTGAATTGACATCTTCGCAAGTAAACAAACTACCGAAGCAAAAATATTTACTTAAAATTCTAAACGTAATGGCGGGAATTGATATACAAAATTCGCGCTAACATGGGCGGAGCAACTTAAACGATCACGTGGTTTATACCAAATAGGCACAATCATGTCCCTTTGCTCATAACAAATAGTCGGGAGTTCAATGAGAGCTGTATATTGTGGCCTTGTGACAGAATAGGGCAAATTTAGCATTATGATCGCTTCATCTATGGTATGCTGGTCCCGTACATCATTATGAGTGGAGAATTCGACCATTGCTGTGGCTTTGTTTATGTACATAAAAAAGCAAAAAAAAAAAAAAACAAACAAACTAAGATGCCGAAGTAAATGGTTTAACAAGCTGGCACATTAAGTTTTTTTTTTTCACTGATGAATTTTTATGCATACGTTTTAAGTGAAAAAGGATAGACTTTCTCTCTATCAAATTCAATTTCGCATGTTTAAAATTGCAAATCATTTTTGTGATAACTTGACTGTTAATGCTGTATATGTAAAAAAAATAAAAATATCCGAAATTAAAGTTTTCAATTCAACCTTTCGACTCGCATGAGTCATCCTCAAAAAAAGAGTGAAAAAGTAGTGAATTTTTTTTACCTCTGCAACAGCGAAGTTTCCGAAAAAAATGATTCGCAATTTAAAAGGGCTGAATAAATTCAATAGACATGGAATGTCTATTCTTTTTAATAAAATTTGAACAATTGCCGCCTAATTATACTATAATTACGATACAGTGTAACCCGGATATAAGAGAAACCCGGATATAAGAGAGATTTTCTCCTGTGTTAATGTATATGAAATGGACCAAACCCGGATATAAGAGAAACCCGGATATAAGCGACTTCTCCGGTCCCGACAACTCTCTTATATCCGGGTTACACTGAATATATATACATATATATACACTAGGTGTATCTATCTATCTATCTATCTATCTATCTATATATATATATATATTTATATATATATATATATATATATATATATATATATATATATGGTTTTTAAAACCCTTTATTCTACATTCAACACCATCACTTGATAAGATACCAATCTATATTCTTGTAATGATTTTATAACATGTTTATGTTATAATTTTTCGAATAAATCGTATTTGCTTCTGTATTGAGCACTCTTTTAAGAATAGCATTTTTGGTTATTGGAATTTATTCCGTATACGCCAATCCAATATATATATAGTTTTGTAAAGAATAAACCTTATTTCTTACATACCAATGTAGCAGACCCGGTAGCATGCAGTGCTGGCCTACGAAAAGGTGGCCTTGTGCCAGACACTACTCACAACTACCGAATCCACTAGCAAAGTAAAAAAAAAAATTAGAATAAAAATAACTGTATTCAACACGTGCATAAAAAGGCAAAAAAAAATAAATAGGTAGCCAGGAGGAATGACAAAAATGAGTCTGGTGGAAAACAAATATATAACTTTATTTGTTAAAAAGTATTTTGTCTCAAACAGTGGAGACTATCAGAAAGGTAAAACTAGTTCTTAGCCAGTAGGCAAATTGTATAATGTAGTGACAAGTAGTCAGTAATAGAATGTTAATGTTCCGCGCCAAAACGAAAATCAAAATGGCTAAGGCGGGAAAAGTTTCTTCAGAAGGAAAGTTCTGGAACAGAGTCTTCTTATACAAAAGGTACATGCATACACAACAAGGAAAAAATACTCACTGCGAGATTTTGTAATGTGTGTGTAATGCTATCTTTTTTTCTTTTTAAACTGGTTCGTAAAGGTTAGAGTTCAAAAGGTGTATGTGAAGTTCATCAATCGACCGTGTCGAAAAACTCTACGTTCCCTGATAGTGAACGGAGGAAAGTTCGAACAAGTTGTTCGCGTCAGGACGAGGAATTAGTTATTGTAAAAGTGTGATGACGACAGTGTCGTAAACTTTACGTTCCCTGGTAGAAAAACGGAGAAAAGTTCAAACAAGTTGTTCGAAGAAAGCTGCAATCACATGAAGAGATTCGGCATGATGAGCCAAGGAGTCACTAGGAAGTTTTGGTTAGTTAAGATATTCCGGCCAGCGTATGGGTAAGGGACGCGAAATAAATGAGTCGACCTTTTTGCTTGAAAACCAGGCAGCGACTGATTTGAAAAACGCCGTTCGTCAGTGACGTCAAAGAATGCGCGTGAAAACTTCAAATCCTGTTCTAACTGGAATCAGTAGCAGCCAGTAACTTCCTCACGTTGGCTGTTTACTACTATATCTAGCCGAGTCAAAGGAAGGGGTGCAATACGCGAGCGCACGTAAAAATAGGTGGAATCCCTGCACGGTTCCACACCAGAAGGGAATCTCTCAAACAGCTTGGACGATCAGTGAATCTTCTTTCTGTGATACGGGGCCGCACGGAGTGCCCGCTACAAGTGGTGACCCCGACGTGATCTGACTTGGCTGGACAATATGGCGACACAACGCAAACGAGGCATATTCAACGCTTAGCAACCAGCAGACCTGCAACACCATTTTCTACGAACTAACACCTCTTCTGGACTGAAACAGATAAAGTGTGAATCAAAACCACTGGACGACTCACTGTTCCATTATATACGATTGGTGATTCCGAACCACTAAAGGCGACCCACTGTCCTTTATTTTCAAAACAACTTTGGAAGCGACACACAAGTTTCACAGGAATGAATCTACAACTTTCTCTGGACGACTCACTGTTCCATTACGATGCAACATCGCCGAGGATTTACATGCACGTAATTCATCGCTATTAATATTGCAAATTCCGCTTTCTTCCAACACATGCTACTGGTCATAGCATTTCGCATCTTCTTCATTCCTGAAACTCAAAAAGCGCGCGCATACATTTTCCTACACCACGTGGCAACATCTTCACGCCACCGCTTGCTTCCCATGCTTCAAACTATTTTGTTTCGGGCGACTCACTCTTTCGAAAAACATTTTCAACATTTTCAACAATTGCACCCTGACGACAAATACAAGCACATTTCGTGAATCACGCATCTCAATCACACTTCTGACACATTTTCTTTTCAGTTCACAAGAACAATAATCAAAACCTTTCATGAACCTTTTTTCTTAGATATTAAAAGTTGACATTTCATTACAACTTTTAATCTGGTGGGAGGTATTGTCGGAGTTACCTCCTCCTTCTATCCTTGAACCGGCAGAGGAATTTGACCTCTCATTCATGCTCCTTACACACTGTTAACACGTCGGAGGGACTAGCAAATACCCTTTTTTTGTTAGGTTATATTACAAACCTAGTTGTAATATACTACTAGTCATTTTAGCCCTTAGTTCTCTTTAGCTAACCTCGTAGTATTTTATTATAGAGACTTTTCGGTTAGCTTAGCCAATTTCTCTTGACAGTGTCTCCCTTCTAGGAGGCGGTTGGCACCGAAACGGTCGGTTGGCAGTGATTTCTCAACGCTAGATTTTTTTGTCTAACTTGACGATTTGGTTGGCGTCAAGATGGCCCCGGCAATGACGGTCAACACGAACTACAGCAAACAAGTTGGCATCCCGGCAATGACAAACTTCATTGAACTACAGCAACAAGGGCACGCCGATCAACACGTCAAGTTGGCAATGACTCAGTTCAACAACCAACAACGATCATCCTGGCAAATTACAACCACCCGATTTTTTTTCCTAGTCTGCCAACACCAACGATCAATTGCACTAAAACTTCTGCACCTCCACCGTTCCGACCATTTTATTTCTTTCCTGAATAAATCTCTCTCCTCGTTCTGTCATCTATATTCACCGTCAGATTTAACGTCTCTCTCTCTCAAGTTTTCAGAAACGGGGCCGCACGGAGTGCCCGCTACAAATATTTCTCGGATTTAATCCATCACATATATGTTGTCATTGTTTACGTTAGGTTACGTTTCGGAGCAGAAATGAATTACTGAGAACGATCGTCGAATGAGTGCGTTTATAAGCAGTAATCTGTGACTGAATGTGTAACAGCACGTCAGGGAAATGACGGTTTCCGTATGGGTCTACAGGTTCGATTCGAATATTCAGGCCTGTAAATGTAATTAATACTGTTTATTTAAAGCAGAACATTCACACAAATAAGTTGTATCCATAAAAATAACATATAAACAGAAAATTTATGTTAAATATGTTATAAAATCACTACCAAAATAGCTATTTTGTTTCAACACCCTCGGTGTCTTATCAAGTGATGATGTTGAATGTAAAATAAATGGTTTTAAAAATTTCAAATTAATTAACAATCCTTCGCAAGGGGAAAACGTTGTTACAAAAGCTAGATTGACCAATCAAAATACAAGTATAGGAAAATTCAAAAAACTTGTCAACGAAGTCATGTTATAATAGCTATTTGTATCCACTATTATATATATATATATATATATATATATATATATATATATATATATATATATATATATATATATATATTTATATATATATATATATATATATATATCATGTTTATATATATATATATATATATATATATATATCATATATATATATATATATATATATATATATATATATTTATATATATATATATATATATCATATTATATATATATATATATATCTCATATTATATATATCATGTTATATATATATATATATATATATATATATACAGTGGGTAGCAAAATGTTTTAACACATTGGTTTTTCTTACATATCTCAAAAAATAACAGATCAATTTCAACGAAACTTATAGGAAATATTTAAACGAACATTGTCGATTAAAACATAGAAAGAAAATTTAAAACCACAGTATGTTTTTCCTCCTTTTCATATTATCATTATCTTTATTTTTAGATTATTCTTTCTATTTCAGGTTATTTTTTCCGCACCCCCATTGTCTAACAATGATCTTCCTAAAAGAATTCTATATAGTATATTAAAAATTAAAAGTGAAAATATTTTTCAAATTGTAGTTAAATAAAACGTATTCTAACCTAAATATCCCCCCAAT